GAAAGTTTCACCAAAGCAATTGAGGTTAGTATTTCAGGTGCTCATCTCCCAGGGACTCACTTAAGAGCCCCAACTCGAGTTCCTTAATCCCCCCGAGATCTCCTTCAGAATCCCGACCACATTGCCGTAACAGCTGTGTGGCCTGCAGCCCTTCCACTTCACATTCATGTCGCCAAGGACGTGTGAAGAAGCAAGTGGCACGTCTGCACATTGCTTAAAGTCCAAGCAGTCGGCAAACCGTACGTTTAAGAAATACCAAATGCCCACATTTCAAAATTTTTGAATGCAATTAAATAACTAAAATTTAAAAAGTGTTGTATTTTGGTTGGATACATATGGTTAAGGTTAGACCTAGGTAAGGGTTAGGGTTATCATGGTTAGGGTTATCATAGTTAGGGTTATCATAGTTAGGGTTAGGGTTATGCAGCTGCCCAGGCCCGGTCGTGTCATAAACTTGATTTTTTTTTTAGTTATTACTTTTATATTATTTTCAATTTTCATTTGAAGTCTCGTTTAGTTTTAGTTTCAGCGTCATTTTATTAAAGACAAATTTCTATTTAATATATTTTAGTTTAAGTTTTAGTCATTTTACATCTAAGGATAGAATTGTGAATTCTACATGACTACACAGTGCACAAAATATGTTCCAGGTATTATTAATGTTAATTAAAGATAAAATAAAATAAAAAAACATTACTTTAGCTAAAGAGGAAAGTATTTGATTTTTGTTTTTATTTTATGTCAGAAGCAATATTTATAGTTTTCATGTCGTTGCAGGCTTTTAAATTTTCAATTCTCATTATTTCAGTTTACGGGAATGTTTTTCTTATAGTTTTAGTTTTCGTTAACGATAATAACCCCAGCCAGGCCTAGCGGCGCTAAACAAGCACATGCAGATCCAGCGGGCCCCGACCCCTGGGGGGGCCCCGAGACAGAGGCATTAAGCAAGAACTCACACCCACCATTACGCAACACAACAGTCACGTTTCCACGGGAGACCAGCCCCAGCAGGGAGACCGGCAAACATCCACAGCCATGACGCCTGAACAGCAGCACTAAACACTCACGCTGATCACAGCTATCTGATTAAGGAGATTAAATAACGTACTAATTGCACAAAGCTATGAAGAACATTCATCATAAATGCGTCCTCTTCAGCTGGTTATCAGTTCGTCATCCAGGGAGACCCCATGACCTCTGAGGGAATACCACAAAGCCAGAATGCAGGAATGGGAGGGGGACGGTACTGCCCCCTCTTGGGTGATTGTAACACTGCAGACTTTTCCCAAGCAGAGGTGGGTCAGTCATGAGAATCACAGACATGACTACAGATCTTCCTGAGTCGGGATCCCAGAACCTCATGATACCCCCCTCCCGTCACGAACCCCTCCCAGACGCACACGTGGCTCTTGCTGGAAGCTGCACAACTCCCCCCCGCGGCTCCGGCTCGATGGCCTGAATTCCAGCCGCTATGGCTTTCATCAACTCAATGGCTCCCATTGTGTCCCAGCAAAGGCAGAGGGCACTGCAAATTTGGGCTTCTGCGTAAGAGAGCACAACACCCACCCGCCCAACCCAAAATGCAGCCCCCTCACAACTCACAAACAGGACATATTTTTTTCCCATCTGAATCCTTTCCAGGCGCATGGTGAGAAAATGGCAGGCAACACAAAAACACAGAACACGGATGTTCCCAGTGGGCTGTGCACCATATCTCCTCGGAGCCTCCCCAAGCTCCCAAATGAGGAACAGGGCCATCGGAAAACCCAAAACAGGGCCCTGTTACTAAGACTGACTGAACCGTCTCAACATATCATTACCATAGCAACACAGCAGCAGCTTGTAGTAGTGGTGCTCCGATATGGAAATTCTGACCGATACCAATAAGCGAAATATTTTTTGTATGATAGTACCAATACCGATAACCAGCTAACCTCTGAACTCTCCAAACCTGTAGTGAAACTGAAGTCGGTGATGTTACTTCTTAAAATCTCATGAATGTGTGTAGCAATCGCATCATAAAATGGAAGCCGACTAAGCCAAAGTTGTGCCGACTAAGGAGACTGTAGCCAGGGTCTACTCTAAGCAGTGAATGAGCCGACTGAATCCCTGCCCTGCAATATGGAAAATGGCTGGTCGTCCAGTGCAATCATCTCCATTATTTTAGTGGTTATGTCTTTAGATCTGGTTCTGTTAACACTGAACATTGAATAAGTCAAAATATTGACTAGGATTCACACATCGAACCAAGACCAATGTCTTGATTTTCAATAAACACCAGCCGATACCAATATGTTAAATGATTTATCATGCATCTCAAGCCTGTAGTAGCAACCGATAAAATAACACAATTTTAAGTCATGACTGAAACCATGTTTGTAATACATTTCAGTGTTGTTGGCAACCACAACAACAACAGGAATAATTATCTTGGATGCCAACATTATACCTTAACAAACACCCAAGATAAAAAAAATAATAAACGAAGAGGTGGATAAAATGTATAGATTGAATTACCATGCCATCATCCGACCAACAATGTCGGCTAAAGTTTTACAATGAGAGCAAATTTCTCCCAGGGAAATGGATGCTCTCCGGTGAGCTGGCTGTAACACCATACCTCGGTGATCACACAACTTGTACACTTGCATTGTTGACACATTTTAAATTTCTCTGCGCTGTCGGGGAAGGTTTGAGTAAAACTAGCACTCTGTTGGAGAAAGGCTGTAACTGGGGGAAAGAACCAGATAAGCTAGTGGATCCAGACAGCCTCCGGAACATTCAGAGGCCTGAGCAGCACTGGCCCAGGGAATTCTGTGCGACTCAGACTGTCTTATCTTCAGAGGTCCACAGGGCAGGCAGAGAAACCCATCATCTCAGCAGTACCTCCACATCGACATGAGAAACCGACAACAAGATGGGGGACACTGCAGAAAGCTCGACGCTCAGCTACGGGAAATTCCCAGTTAAACAAACAGTTAAGCTAAATTCAACAGCATTTCAACAGACCTCAGACGCACTGAAATCTGGATCATACTGGCAGAGCAGAAAGCAAACACTCAAATGACAAAATGACCTACAGAGGTAACCTGCATTCTGTGTTGGAGCCTTTCCCAGCCTAATAAATCTGGTGCCGGATAATTACATGAACTTTAAACGGGGGCACTGCTGCGTCACGAGTTTCTCATAAATCTGATCCCAGATCAGTTTTCCAGAGCCTGTATGAGTCGGACCCCAGCTTAGTCTTTACAAAATCTGTATATATCTGATCCCAGATCAATTTTAGTAGATTTTCCACGTCCATGTGTTTTTCCTCCCACAATGCTTAAGAAGTGCTGTAAAACCGGACTAGCTTGATCTGTGTGAAGAAAAAGTATCATTACTCAACGACTTCCCCAGTAAATGCGTAATATTTACAAGAACTGTATTTGTTACAACATGATTAGTCTGAACATGGCAAATCAATGAAAAACCCTTAAATCTTTTCTGAATGCCTCTTTTAAAATGTCACTGTATCTAGCACTTCCGGATCAGGTAAACAAATCCTCTGAATGACTGAAGATCCAGTGATTATTTTCAGAACTTTACATCTCTACAGACACTCTAAATTTTCTGAATAGGATAAAATAAACAGAACTGAGAGAGAAACATTAAATGTGGATCCTTCCAAGGCTGAATTGAGACAGATGGGCTGAGTCACCTCAGCAGAGAACGTGGCGTTCCGGAGAGGTGGGTTGGACTTGGTCATCAGAGATGAGCATCGTGGGTATTTTTTTTGTGCTGTGTACCTCACACACTACAACGCGCCCCCCC